ATTTTAGCTACGAACGGTGAACAAAATCTTGATACAGGGACGTGGAAACTGGTATGACTGGGTGACTGGCTTCTTCTTGTACTACAGTGATGATGGTCAGCGGTGGACAGGTTATTCAGAGAGTGGAGACAAACAACACTCCAATGTATGGAAAATTTTTTAAATGGTGATTTTAAAGGCCCCTTTACTCTTTACGCTATCAAGTTTTCAAGGAGTTTTACCGTAATCTTATATTATTCAATAGGAAGTAAGGACGATATTCGCTCGTATAGAAGAATTGGTAAGAAAACAAGGAAATTGTAAATGATTTAATGAAGAGAAATCCTAGCCCTGAAATTTTCTTTCGAAAATGTCATTCACAAGTTCCACGGCAATAGAAAGTAGCGCACAAGTGCTCCTTTAAAGGAAAGCTTTCTAGAGCCATTGTGTGTAAATAGACTAGAGAAGTTGTACGCTTGTGTCAATAAGAGAGCATCTTCCTCCGCCATTTCTGTTTGTTATCATCTGACTGCAACATGCTCGTTGACTGAAACAAAAATTTTTTCTTTGTTTTAATTAGTCGCATTGCTATCAAGGAAAATGCAGCGAAATTCACGAAACTCAGTGCAAGGATTTGTGGGGAGCCAGTACGTTGAAATGATTGTTTTTATTATTGCACTACTACTATGTTTTACCACTTTACCATCATTCCACTATAGGAATGCACAAGATGTGCAACGGCACTACGTACACTGTAGAACAGGGTAAAAATATGGATAGAAAGTGAAACAAAAAAAGGCCGCACAGAACCAACCAAAATGAGATATTTTCTGTCGCCTTTTAACCTAGAATTTTGAATGAACAACGCGCCATATGTGATCAACAAGATGCTTAGATAAGGCCGCAGGCGTTCGATGGTTGAACATAAATATGAGTGGAAATTTTGCTCATTTTTCGCACAATAGCCGCACATCTTATGTGTTAAACCATCGAGTAAGATTTATTTGTCATATCTATGCAAAATTTGATTCCCTTACAATTGAATGTATCAGATCAACAACTCAAATTGATAATCCTGTAAACACCTTCATCTTTAATTATTCAGGTAGGCATTTATGTGGTTTTTTAGTTTAAACTCATGAAAAAAAACATTTATCTTCTCAGATCTGAGCTTCTAGCACTTCCATCGTTTTCGCTTTTCTGTTAATTTTCCAGCCGCCAAAAATGCCGACGAAAGATGTTATAACATGCTGAACACTAAAGCGGATGGATATGGCACATGTGATCCACTCAGAAATGTATCATGCGCTGCGAGGTACAAGATCAGAGTATTATGAAAAAAGATCTAATTTTTAATCTTTCTTAGGAATTAAGCCTTAAACGCTGACATCAGTACGCTCATTCTCTATACCATCCTCTATACGTTTCCTGAGGGGCTGACAAGGAGAATACGTATAACAATCTAGACCTTCTTTAGTTGATGATCTTTCATTTATTCTCATGACTTTAATGTTTGATTCACGGTGATATTTTATGGATAAATCAGATGCTAATCACCCGAAGGGATCAAAGGTTTAAGGCCACAATCATTTATCTTTATTATAACAGATCAGGGCAACCTGCGAAACAGTACCCACAAAATTTGTGTTTCAAGACGTTTATAAGGGCAAGCTGTCCACTCAGGTTACTCAGGCTATGATTTTTTTTATTAGCGACCAGATACCGAAAGACTGAACATTTAGCAATATATACTATAGATGGTAATGGTTATAGAGATGAAGGAAAACGAAATTACTTATTGTATCAAGAGCCTCCAAGGTATTCTGTACGCAAACGATGCAAAATTCCTAATATCGACGTGCTTGTGTTTCTTTAAGTTTTATCTTGAGGTTAAAAAAAAATGGTTTTGAAGCAACCACTGATATTTGAAAATTAAATGTACACTTTGTAAACGTCAAATATCAGTTTTCCATTTCTTTTTTTTATTTTATCAGAAACGTGTTATGCGGTCAACTGCAATGTGAAGACAGTAGAGATAAACCTGTTGTGGACTACGGATGGACTTACACTAAGATCAGTATGGATAACGGAAAACAATGCAGGTATTACTTTCACTCACTTCCCTGTTGCAGAAAAAAGCACTAGTAAGTAAACATGTTCTTAAAGATTAAACAACAATCAACTGATGCGTTTATACTAAATTTAGAGATCTTGAACGGTGTTTTAAGGAAAAAGCAAGCCGTAAGAATTATCAAGGGAAAGCACTGTATAAAGTAAGGGTGGTAAATTATCTATCAAAAAGTATCAAAATTTTTCGTGGTTGGAGACACCACACCTATAGGGTGTAGGGAATAGGGTTTCAACTATAAACCTCCTTCCCTTTGCTTCCTTCCACCTGATGTTCTCGTTAGCGAGCTTTTCTTTCACACAAGGCCTCTAGGACCACTTTAAACGGTCTCTACCTCTCTACCCCTGAGGGTTCCATTCCAGGGCGGTACAGCACAGATTCCCATGAAAATTAACCAACCTGACGCGTTCTTTCTTCCTACAGTGCTGCAACCTTGAAGTCCATAGATGACATTGGTGAGGGAATGGTCAGAGAAGGGACAAAATGTGGAGATGATAAGGTACCGCTGAAAAATTTAGCCCTTCCGCTTGCAGAACGATCCATCCATCAATAATTTATCATTACAATATCACTACGTTGTCGGGTAGAAAAAAATGATGAGAAGATAGCGAATTACTAGTAAGGGAGCATTGGTTACTTTAACACCCAGATTCCTGAAATTTTAAGAGCCTAAATTGTTAGAAATGTCTGGCAGAAAATGCATAGAATGATTTTGAAACTGCAGATAGTTGGGCGAGTTATCTTTTAAGTGACACTTCAAGGGCCGTTTACGTCACAACTGATACTTAAAAAAGAGGAATTTTTTTTATACTAAAGAATTACTGAAAAGAGATCTAACCAAGTAAATTAAACCTTGTTTTCCGAGTTTTGACGAGTCGATGACGGCAAGAACTTTAACGTATTTTGTTTCAGATGTGTGTAGATAACCAGTGTCAGACGTTTGATTCCCTCAACGTCGGAAAGTGTCCAGTGATGAACAACAAGGAGTGCGGAGGAAGAGGGGTAAGTCTATGTTTTTGGGTGAATTTTTCAAGTTCTTTGTTTTGTAATCCATGTTGATCCTCTAACTCGTCAGAAGACTGAGTAATTAGGGTGCTGAATTTGTAATTTGGTGTTCCCGCGTGTGACTGAGTAATTAGGGTGCTGAATTTGTAATTTGGTGTTCCTGCGTTCAAACCTTTTATCCTGATATTCCCTTGATTTGTTCTCGTTTGCCCAGGGTTCAATCTTTGGCTGCACTTTGAATATAGCCAGCTGC